AACATCTGTCGCATCGCGTTGAAATATTCCTTGATGTGGGAGTTGCAGACTTCGCATCGTCGTTGTAAGACTACGTAACCAATTAAGATGTCCTTTTTGTTAGTATGCCAGGCTAGCATCCTGAGCATCTTCCATTCTGGATCGAATGCGAATGGTTGACGATTGCCCTCCTCCAAGAAGGTTTGAAAGGCGTCGAGTACTTGATACATGGCTAAGAAGATCTGGGCCACTTCTTCGAGGAACATGGGCGCCACCGAATAATACTTCACCAAGTCCACAGTGTAGTCGTTGATATATTCGGGATCAAGATTGATCCTATGGAACTGGTCGATTATCGATGGGAGATTGTTCCAAACGCCGTCAATGTGAGGCGAGTACCAGCACCATAGGAGATCTCTAATTCCCTGAGAGTCTTCTAAGGATCTCCCGGGAAGTCTCCCGTCAACACCCCCAAAGTAGATCAAGGGGTCATCGTCAATGGCTGAGTTGAACTGACGATGGTAACGGGCCAGGGATGCCGACAAGGGCTCGTCATAGATCATAACTTCCTCGTAGGTAGCGATGCCTTCGAAGATACGATGATGCTCCGTAGGCACTGTTGCATCCTTGGCACCTAGCGTAGAGATGCTTGATATAGTCGTCAAGTAAGTGAGCGATGGCGCATCCGAAAGGATTTGTCCTGTCTCATGCAAAAACGCTAGGTTTCGGCCAGGAGGATTGATCGGCACAACGCTGCCTTGCGGCGCGCTGGAACCCGACTGAGGAAGGGGTAGTGGAGCTGGAGCTTTCTGTGAAGACAACCCTGGCTTAGATGGTTTGGTTTGTGACGCGACTGTCGCTTTCCCTTTCGCGGGAGGAACAGCGGGGGTAGTAGCACCCTTCGCACTCTCTTCCGCAATTGGCGACGTAGCTGTCGTTTTTCCCTTAGCAGAAGGAACAGCTGGGGTGCTAGCACCTCTAGCGCTCTCTTCCGCGAGTTGAAGGTTTTTGGAGGTAGCTCTGGTTGAGCGACCGGTAGTTTTTGGTTTGTCAGAGGGGTCGGCGTTGTCGGTGTTGGATAAGGAAGGGGTAGCCATGGTAGTGTAGCTGAAGGAGACGAAACTTTAGTCTATTTCTTATATACACTGGCGGCGCCCTGTCTGATCGTAAAACTTCGCCGACTAAGTCGAGGAAGATCCTTCATCCGGTGTGTGTGGCATAGCTAAATCGGGTAGAGTCGGTTGGGAGAGGGGTGGACTGAATGAATGAGGGCGATGGGTGAAGGATCTAGCGGTGGGCTAGACGACTAACTGAATTCGGATAATCGGAATTACTAAGGTGAGTCGAATAACCGTGAATGCTGTGGCAGCGCTCCAGGGCATACTCGCGCAAACGCAGGAGGGACTGTGCTCAGCAACGAGTGGAAAGGAGTGGGTAGTGGATGGTACGGCGAGGGAGAGGGATGGAGGAACGATGTGACTCGTAAGTGATGAGTCATACTTACTATGACGTGATCAACAGCCTCCGAGCTCTCCCAGAGCGAGACTTCAACATCAGATGTGAAGTCCGCGGTGCCCCCACCAATGTAAAGCCTCAGTGCGTGCAGGGACTTCTAGTGTTTAAAGGTTCAGTCCATAGGACCGCAAAAAACCGGTGGACCGAACTGAACCGGACCATGGTCCGGTCTTTTTTTCGGTTGCAGTTGCCCCAATTTGGGGTTGGTCCAGTTGCCAGTTGCCTCATTTCGAAAATCTTTTAAAACCGTTCAAAGACCGGTTTTAATCGGTTGCAATCGGTTAAACGGTCACGTGCGTTACATAGCCTTGTAACCACGTTTATTGCTTTTTATTGGGTTTTTGTTTCATCAAAAACGGTTAAGAATTGAGAAAGATATAACCAAATCCATATTTTACCCGAGTCTCTATGAGATGTAATTCGGTTTCAGTCATAGCTATGTCAAATCTTCATTAAATCTCTTGAAAATTGGTAGAATGATGGGTATTTATATGCTTTACTATTTTATATAACCCGTTTATTTTTCAGAGTAATAATGGTTGAGATACAAATGGTTTATATTGGTATAATAAATTATACGCAAAAAAACCGGTCTGGATCGGTCTGAACCGGTATCATGGACCGCAAAAGACCGGTCCTAGGTGGTTCGGTTCGGTTCCCTCAATATCTGGGTCGGTCCTGGACCAGTTGCGGTCCACGGTTGCGCGTTTTTGGGGCAAAAAACCGGACTGAACTGAACCTTTAAACACTAGGGACTTCGTGCGTGTGAAGCCTCATAGTACCATAGTAGATTGTCGTAGTGTAAGGTCGATGAATAGAAGTGATTGGAGAGAACACAACTGTTGAGGTTGCGCTCGTCTCCTAGGGTTGCCTAGAAGTCCTAGGCAGACCCTCGTTAACCCAGAGGACGGGCTCTCGTATCCTGTGGAGGAGGGAGCATTGTGAAGGGTGCTCACCCTTTGGTCTTACCAGCAGTGGACACGGTAGACTCATCACACAAGCTTGTTAGCAAGATGATGGTGGTTTTATGTCTAGAGATTGCTACGTACAATAATCGTCAAGAAGTCAAGATTATGTAAGCGAGTCTGTGCGTATTCTCCTATTCCGTATCACACCTGAGCTGCAGCTCAGGGCTTTGAAGAAGTGAAGCCTGAGCCACAGGCCACACCAAGCCCTGCAACAGCTTCACAGAGCTTGGCCTCAGAGGGCTTGGCTTGGGCTGGCTTGCAGCTTTCAGGCCAGGCCAGCACATCACTAATCCTGCTTGATCAAAAATAGTTCAACATAACAGTGGGAGTGCTTCACATATACCCTCACAGAGCAAAAAATTAATGGCTCCAACAAAGTGCTCTAGAGCTTTATCATATGTTGGATACACAAACAACAATGATTCATTTGTCCTAGGACTGTGTGAGAGCATGGAAGTCCATTCAGCCTGGCCCAATGCCATTTCAATCAATTCGGCAATAACACGTAACGGCCCCTCCCAAACCGCCGAAATGTAACAGAGGTAATGGTCATTTTGGCCAAGTGCCGAATCCATTGAAAAAATTCTAAAAACTGCTTTAAAAATCGCCAAAAAAATCGTTAAAAAAATCTCCTGGTCTCTAATTATTGTGTAGCACTTTGATTAAGAAATTGTAAACTTGAAAAATGGATAAGGTTACCTATAGAATTCTCCTCTATCTGCCGAAAAAACATCTATATAACGGTCATCTCCTTCATGAGCCGAATTTTTATTTTTATTTTTTTTAGGCACGTAATGCGTAACATGGCCTGCCGAATTGATCGAAATGGCACAGTATTGTTGCTGACCCATCACAAATTTCGGTGTTGATAAAACACCGGCACAAGATCAGCAGCTTACCCCCAAAATGATGCTGGATGTACTTTTGACCAGAATGTGAGGGCAGAAGGGCAAGGAGATACTCCAAAAACCCAGGGGATGAACGACTGCAACATGGGAAGGATAGCAGCCTGTCAGTAGTTTCCAGATAAGATACGATAAGATAAAATAAGTTCTTTTTATTTTGTTTTATTTTTTCGGCAGGCAAACATGGTCTCCAGTCGATTCCTAAAAGTAGCCAACTTACAACACTTCCTGGCCGTCCTCCCCCAGCCTATGCCTCCCATCCACACCTGCACCCCGAGCCGAATATGGTTTATGCCCAACAACACCCCTAATCTTCCTCCAATCCCTCCACCCCGCCCACAAACTCAAAAGTATACTCAAAAACGTAGCACCAATAGTCAAATAAATCGTCGCAACATAACACTCCAACCCCTGCCCACACCTCGGTTCCGCACTCACTTCAGGCAGAGAGAACTGAGACGGAGAAGCCTCATGCGCGTCCAAATTCCGCCCGAATACGAGTGAGAAGAGGTTGCCTGCTGCCATGGGTGATAGAGATAGGTATCCCCAGTTTTCCGAAAAGTGGGCTTCGCGTTTAAATTAGTACGTGACTATTAGAAAGAAAGGGAAAGAGGAGACGCACGCATCCCGAACCACTCTAAACACACAGTTGGGAAGAGGGAGAATACACTCCCGTGCGCGAGGCCAAGGAGCGAACTGGCGATCCACAGGTTTTGGATGTCGTTGATTGACGCTGTGGCTACTTGGGAGATGAAGAAAAAGAAAGAGACGAGGGCGAGGGAGTATGAGCGTGGCATGCCGAAGTGGTTTTTACCCAGATCGGATACTAAGCCTATGAGAGACGGGGTGAGGAAAGCAGGGTTAGAGGGGTGGAGGAAGGGCGAACCTATGAAAATACGGCCTGTGAAATTCATTAGGCTTATGGAGGAGACTTGTTTAGATTGCCATTGGGAGGCTTTGGCCTCGTCGTAGTGTGGGTTATTGTACCCATACAAAGCTTGGGACATGGAACCGACATTGTTGATGTCTAGAAATCGGTAGGTAAGTGACCCCTTAACAAGCTCCGTCATAACGTACACATCAACCCAGTGCCACTAACTAAACGTCGCAATTAGCCACACATCAACCAAATAAGCGACCAGCTCACGAATGGAAAGAATACTGAACAACAACCAAAAATCAGCACTCTTCCACAGCCTCTTCCCATACACATTAGGCAGCCCTTCCAAGCTCTCCACCACTCCCTGACTAAGACTCGAACTCCTCCCATGCTGGTGCCTAGAAGGGCTCAACTCCAGAGTCCTATCCTCCTCTAACCTCGACGCATACGGCGGCAAGACAGCACCAGCGTCCGCAGCGGTGGTAAGTTGCGCGTAATAAGAACCTTGATCGTCTACTTCCCCATCACTGTTCAAATTATCGTCCGAGTCACCCCCTAAGAGGCGAGTATGGCTGCTATTATCGTGTGCCAACCCTGACGAAATAGCAGCGTCTCGGGGTTCTTCGATATCTGTGTGCTTGCTTGGCGGGAGGGGAATGGGGCGAACGAGGAAGAAACCCATTATCATGGGAAATGCGGTACCCATTGAGAGAAGGAAGAGGAAGGAAGAGGTGTTGCCTGCGTAGAAAAGGTGTGAGATGGTGGAAAAGAGGAATGCGGAGAGGCCAAAGCCAGAAATAACAAGTCCAGTCGTGGAGCCTCGCTATGCATAATGGTTCAGTTGAGAAGACGGTTTGTGGGCATGATACGTACCGTGCGATCGGGGAAGGTTTTAGCAGTCGAGTTGACAGCGCTTGTGAGGCCGCCATTACCGCCGGCTCCAGTCATGAAGCTAAACAGAACGAGGGTGTACAGCCCTAACGTGGATAGAGACGCTGCGTCGTCAGGTATCCCCTCATCGTAGAGGTGTCGGATCCCAGAGTATCCCCCAAGGAGAAACATGAACCCGCACGCCAAAAGAATGCGGGGTCCTCTGCGGTCGACGATCCGGCCCCAAATTGGGCCGCTGGCATATACACCGACTGAATAGAATCAATGCGAGGCTAGAAAGGGAGAGAAAGTGGCACTAACTGTTCCCGGCTAAGCCGACCATGTTCAGCTGGGTGTGCGTGATGCGGAGTCGTGAGCCGAGCTGGGGAGCGTATGCTGGATGAAATGAAAGAAGTCATATCAGTAACCCGATGTATGAGAAGAGAATCTGCGAATGAGATGAAATGAGTAGATTGACGATCAATACTGTCGTCACCGAAACCTTTAAGGGGGCTCGGGGCTCGGCTACGGTTAACCATCCAGACCCAATGAAAGCCAAATGAAGAAAGCACTCCGATGTGCCCCCCTCAGGCCTCAGGTCGTGTGCCGTCCAGAATATCTCGCGAGAAAGCGCACTCTCGAATGGCCGCACTAACGACGCACTGGCCGTCATGAAGCCAATGCTTTTTCTCGAAACCGATGACAACTTGCCCACTAGCATCCTCGTCCTAGCGCAAGTGATATGGCTGCAACTCCTGCTTCCTTAGGGGTTTGAACCACCACCCACTCATCCTCACTTCAACAAACATCGTCAAAGATGTGCCTGCCATTCAAACCTCCTCACCTGAATAAACCTGCCAGCGAGATCAATTAGGTTCAATTACAGACGTCAACCTGACACCAACTCACATAATTGGTTCCAGCAGCGAGAGCGACGATGAGACTGGCGATTAAGGTCGTGAGACGTGGAGTACTGTAGAGCGCCGGTACTGCTGAAGGATTGCTGGGCATTCTGCACGCAAAGAGTGTAGTGGAAGAGGAGAGAGGCGCTATCTGTGCATTCTGCTGGCGGAGGCGAGGTAGAAAAGCGGGACTAAAAGATATTCTCACGTACATAACCACTTGTAATCACGAATTGCCGCAATTACGCTGAACGTCAAGGAAATAAGGAGAAAATCCACATCGCAATGACAGGGTATGTATAGAATGGTATAGAATGCCCGTTACAGTGATCATAACACATACATATCTCGAAGAATCCTTGCCTTCCACCATATGCAACGTTAGAGGGCGGGGAACGGGGGAGTTGTAACAAAACAAGACCCGCTCAAGGATCCGAAGGCTTTGTCTCCACATCCGCGACCTCGGTCTGCTTGACGTTTCTCTGTATCAACGTCACAGCTCTAGGCTGCCCAGGGCGTTGATGATCATAATCCTCCAACCGAAGCTTCCCAGTTGGATATTCCGCATCTGGATGCCAAGGATCCTTTGGATCAGCCACTGCATCCTGCTGGAAAAGCCCCGCGGTATCAAGCTGGAACGCTATCATCGTAGGATCCGAAAACCAGGGATGGCGGAAGTGACTTTGCCAATACGCAAAAGCGACGCCACACAGTAAGAGCGCAAGTTGTAATCCAGTCCAGATATAGACCCTCCAGCGAGTAACGGTGGGGTGCGAAGCTGGGAGGGCGAATGCCACACCGGTCGCGTTATTTGGACCAACTGAACCGATTGTCAGTACTAAGGATGACCATGCGGATTGATAGGCCCGTGAAACGAACTCGATCGCAATACTGTTCACGGGAGTTGAAATATCTGTCGTAAGTGCTGAAAAGACAGTGAGCAGCGTATGTGTTCCAACCGACGGAGCTATCGCCAGGGCCTCGATAGTCAGAGGATCTGGAACGAGTTGTAGGTTTTCATCCTCGATATTGCCCTCAACAACGGCAGGTGAGACAATCTTGCAGTTCTGACAAACCGCACCGCCAGCTGTATATGTCACGTTTGCGAATGCGAAGCACGAATAGCGCGTTGAGTTATTGGTGAGAGTGAGGTAGAAACTGACGTTGGAGGGGATGTAATAATCGGGGTAAGGCGAGGTGCAATCTGGATTGGTCGGGGAAAGAACTCGAATACTGAGAATCCGAGATTCAGATACGTTGGTAGGATCTGGCAGGTTAGGACTAGAGCCTGGACCCCAAGAAGCATCGGGGAGGAATGCAGCTAATCCCTGGTCGGTGATGTAGGGGTTATAAATACTAGAATCGTTGAGCAATGATTTCTGTTGACTTGAGAGAACAGCTTCGGGGTCTGTGATGTATTCAAAATTATTCACTTTGAAATACGGCAAGCGGATTGTATCCAATGTCGAATTGATGGGAAGATATTGAATGGTTTGAGTCTCTGCGTATTGGATAATAGGACGTCGGGTGAGATTGGATGGCAGGGTAAGATATGAAGAATTCGTGTTGAGGTTCCCCCAGGAAACCAAGGACAAAGCCGCTCCACTTTCTATAGTGTTCGAAACAATGACTGGATCGTTTCGATACGTTGCAATGTTCTGCCCGGCTTCTCCCTCCTTGATATTCCCCACAGGTATAAACCCATCCACCAGAATAAACGTAGGTTGCCAGGTGACCGATCCCGTCAGGATAGACGAGAAATAATCCATCCCGAAGCAGGTGAAGATGATAAGATAGACGAGAAAAACATTCTTTCGGTTGGCAACGTCGCGAGGCCACAGCAGCGTTGTTATTCCACCATCAACGACTTTGGAGAAACCAGCTATGGTGATTTCCCCTTTCTCCATGAACATAAACGCACACCGCCAGAGAAGCTTGCCAGCCCAGCACGCAGCCGCTGCGCGAGTGGCGCTGGCTGCGATGCTAAGCGCGGTTGTGATGTCGGATTGCAGGAGTCTGTATGAATTGAGGCCAGCAGTAGTCTTCCCGCCATCGAGGTCGGTGAAATGGGGCTGACGATGGTTGAGGTTGTAGATTCTATCCCCACTACGCGAATCAATGAGGTAGAGGGTCACGAAAGCGACAAGGATCGTCAAGGCGAAGTGAAGGATGAAAGGTACGGCCTTCTTCAGGTTGTGGATGGAAAGTATCCTGAAAAACCATGCAGTTACGGTTTCAAGTAGCGTGGAAGAGAGAACAGAGGCACTTACCCAGACATCTTCTCCAGAAGTCTAACCTTGGAGATAAGATGAACGTCTCTTTTTGAACCCAGTCGATAGTCGTAAGCAGGGCTGTGACTTGACTAATAATCAAAAAAAAGAATTCAGTCGAGAGGAGTAACGGGCGTTACCCCAAATCCAAAGTCGAGATACTGTAGTGATGGTTTGAGAACTTTGGTCGCCAACCTAGGTTCTTACTGGGTGCTTAAGTATTGGGCCAAGGGCTCAAGTGATGTGATGGCTTGTGATGGATAAGACTTTTAATAAAAGGAAGGGCGCCCTTTGGGCGCCTTTGTGAAACTCTCCGCGAACAACGGGGCCATTCTAAAGTGCAATGTTGTCAGAGACCGAAGCGGGGGAGAGTTTCGAGCACTTACTGTATGCAAGCTTAGCTCAACACTGTCACCGCCTACTTATAAAAACTCGAGTGCCTGAATCTCGACGAAGAGAAACGAAAACCAGACGATTGGGAGAAAACATATCCTCTCAGGGTCGCACGGACCTGCCAAGAAACCCTGAAGAAACCACTGGAAGCCTCATGTTCTGACTCGCCTACGACTTGAGGCCTGAAGCGCTGACATCCAAGAATTAAAATATCAATGGCTGGCGAGTTGAAAAAGAACAACTGTTGTGTAAGTGGCCACCTGAACGCACAGAGTGTCAAGGTGTGGGGGGAAAAATGAATGCTGCACATTCCGAAGCCGAAGGTTTTCCCCACGTGTCCAAGTCGGCAATTTCCTGCACAGGGTTTTCCCTCGCCAATTCATATCACCTTGCTTGTCAAGGTCTCCCAAGGTCATAAATACCAAACAGGTACAAACAAACTACCCAGGGCCCCAGGGGCCATGGGGGTCTTTTCTTGCATATCGCGCACGCGAGCGGGCAAGCATGAACAAACAAACTTTCTACGGGCCATGGGGCTCTTTTCTTGCATATGGCGCACGCGAGCGAGCAAACCGGTGCAAACAACTGGTCTTTTCAAAACATGATATCGTCGTCTCTTTCTTAGCGCCAGCTCCAATGTTTATATACATAACTATGTAGCGCTATAGCTCTTGAACACTGTTTCCTTTGTTACGAAAAAAAAAGTCGCATCGTCACATTGGTGCAAAGGAGTGTATTTGTCAGCAAGCAAGGTGCCTGCTGCCGCTGCTAAGTGTCAGCCTCTAGTAGTGATTTCAGCTGATTTCTATGGAACAGGTTACAGCCGCAGCGATGTAATTGAGGGTACTATCAGTGACCAGGAGTTTGAAACGATTTGACCTTTGGCTGAATTATGCCACAACCGCTCCACTCCGGGCCTCCAAATTTTGTGTGGTGGTGAATGTGTATCTCATGAACATGAATATATTTTTAGTTTTTTTATTGAACAGTGGTGGAAGCTGACGGAGGCTTACCGGTCGTCGAAGTCGATTGTTTCGGGAGATTGAAATGGCTGTCACGTCCAAGTCACATCCAACTGTCAGAATTTTGATAGGTGATGCGACTGCCAGGGTTCAAAACCACGCAGCCCAAAATCACGTCTGTCACGCTCAGCAGACAAAGAATCGAAATTCATTGGATTATAAGCATAGTTCTTCACCTTTCTGCTCGATTTTTTGTATTTGAAGTCGCGTCGTTTACTAGTACATGCTTGTAAATTTTTAGATACCCTAATGCAAAGGATCGGATTAGATCTTGAAAATCATTTGCATACATCACGGTTTTGATGCGCCGAAAGCCACCTTTTAAAATCCTGAGCTTGTCAGACTCGGTTGTTGCACAAAAAAGGTTGATATTCATATTTGTAAGAGTCATAATTAGTCCAGAAAAAAATACCAGAAAGCCTGTGTCAAAATTAAGAGAGGAAATCGGGGATTTCAAACTCCTGAAGCATATCAAACTCCTGGTCACGTATACAACGTCAGTGTTATAGTTCTCACAGACGCGCTCAAAGCTTCGCCTCCACATTCTCGAGCTCGGTGTACTTCACGTCTCTATGTATCAACGTCACAGCTCTAGGCTGCCCAGGCCGTTGTTGATCATAATCCTCCAGCTGAAGAGTCCCAGCAGGATATTCCGCATCTGGATCCCAAGGATCCTTCGGATCAGCCACTGCACCCTGCTGGAAAAGCCCCGCGGTATCAAGCTGGAACGCTATCATCGTAGGATCCGAAAACCAGGGATGGCGGAAGCGACTTTGCCAATACGCAAAAGCGACGCCACACAGAAAGAGCAAAAGTTGTATTCCAGTCCACAGATAGACCCTCCAGCGAGTAACAGTGGGGTGCGAAGCAGGGAGGGCGAATGCCACACTCGTCTCGTTATTTGGACCAATAGAACCAAGCGTCAGTACTAAGGATGACCATGCGGATTGATAGGCCCGTGAAACGAACTCGATCGCAATACTGTTCAAGGGAGTTGAGATGTCTGTCGTAAGTGCTGAAAAGACAGTGAGCAGCGTATGTGTTCCAACCGACGGAGCTATCGCCAGCGCCTCAATAGTCAGAGGATCTGGAACGGGTTGCATATCGTCATCTTCGATATTGCCCTCAACAACGGCGGGTAAGACAATCTGGCAGTTCTGACAAACTGCACCGCCAGCTGTATATGTCACGTTTGCGAATGCGAAGCAGGAGTAGTACGTTGAGTTGTTGGTGAGAGTGAGGTAGAAACTGACATTGGAGGGTATGTAAGAATCGGGGTAAGGTGAGGTGCAATTTGGATTGGCCGGGGAAAGGACTCGAATACTGAGAATCCGAGATTCAGATACGTTGGTAGGATCTGGTAAGTTAGGAGTAGAGCCTGGACCCCAAAAAGCATCGGGGAGGAATGCAGCTAATCCCTGGTCTGCGATGTAGGGGTTATAAATGCTAGAATCGTTGAGCAATGATTTCTGTTGACTTGAGAGAACAGCTTCGGGGTCTGTGATGTATTCAAAATTATTCACTTTGAAATACGGCAAGCGGATTGTATCCAATGTCGAATTGATGGGAAGATATTGAATGGTTTGAGTCTCTGCGTATTGGATAATAGGACGTCGGGTGAGATTGGATGGCAGGGTAAGATATGAAGAATTCGTGTTGAGGTTCCCCCAGGAAACCAAGGACAAAGCCGCTCCACTTTCTATAGTGTTCGAAACAATGACTGGATCGTTTCGATACGTTGCAATGTTCTGCCCGGCTACTCCCTCCTTGATATTCCCCACAGGTATAAACCCATCCACCAGAATAAACGTAGGTTGCCAGGTGACCGATCCCGTCAGGATAGACGAGAAATAATCCATCCCGAAGCAGGTGAAGATGATAAAATAGACGAGAAAAACATTCTTTCGGTTGGCAACGTCGCGAGGCCACAGCAGCGTTGTTATTCCACCATCGACGACTTTGGAGAATCCAGCTATAGTGATTTCCCCTTTCTCCATGAACATGAACGCACACC